TGTATCGATCTTCAAGTGCGTTAGCAAAATGTCAGGGTGTAAAAGGAAACGTGTTGTGTTAAGTATTCAACAGAAACTCGTGTGAGCCGGGCTTCGAAATGTTAAGCAGAGACGAAACCGTAAGTTCAATGGGGGTGCAGCCAGAAGAGCGGGAAGAAAGTGAGAATGAGGAAGAGGTGGACAGTACTGCTAGTAAGAAAATATCACATGGTGCTGTTCTTAATCATTTTGAATCCTTACTAGACTATCTTGAGAGTGAAGAGAACAGTTTATTAAGTGACAAGCTAATATTACGTAGGCTTCGTATGGATATCAGTAAAAAGGAAGATGCCGCGAAAAAGCAAATGACAATATTAATTTTTTTTAGTGTTAAGTGTGAATATTCATAAAAAGTGTTGGATGTTGTTGAAGACTGTGATTGAAATAACTAATTCAGACTTCAGTATAATGTAAAAAAAGTATTAAATAGGCCATGAGATGACATAAAAATGAGGTTGAGTAAATTTAAATACAGGTAGGCCTATAGTATTATGAAGGTACAGTATTACAGTACTAATTTTAATAACATTTGTCTTAACCGGGTTTTCGATTAATCGTGATTTCCATGCCCACCATTATCCCGGATAATCGAGGGTTGACTGTATAGGACAGACCAAAAAATGAAGGAAAAAATACATACAAGGTGGTTCAAATATGACCGGGACCGATTTGTGTGTAAACAAGCCGCACTGCGCAGCAGCTGTGCAACCTTGAGATAGTGAAGCCACAACCTCCACCCTCCCTCCTGTTCAGGTAAGAACCTGTTCAGTCCTGTCTGGGAGTTGCTAGAGTGATGAGCGAACAAAAGGTACCGCGAAGCATAGAACAACGCATTGTGATCAAATTCCTTGTTGGAGAAAAGTCCCGTCCGCTGAAATTCACCACAGACTCCAACAACATTATGGGGAAGAGTGTCTCTCATGGACCCGTGTGTTTGAGTGGTGTAAGTGCTTCAGAGGACACAGAGCGTGTGGAAAATGAACTGCATGATCATCAGCCGTGAACATCCATCACCAAGCCAAACATTGATCGTGCACAGGCGCTTATTCGTGAGAATAGGCACATCACTATCAAGAAACTTGGAGCAATGCTATCCATCAGTATTGGTAGTGTAGAAGACATCGCGAAATACCACCTGCACTATCGCAAGGTGAATGCATGGTGGGTACCATGCACTTTGACGGACGTGAACAAAATGGTGCACATGCGAGCTGCCAGTCGTCTCATACAGCAGTTTGAAGATGAAGGTGATGCATTTTTGAAGTCTATAGTGACCACCGATGAAGTGTGGGTGCACTACTTCATTCCCGAGTCCCAGCAGTCATCATGCGAGTGGCGGCATACCAGTTCTCCCAAACCCAAGAGAGCGCGGAGGAGCCATTTGGCAGGAAAAGTGATGGTATCGTTCTTCTGGAACTGGCAGCAGGGGGTTATCCATGTAGACTTTCTGACAGATGCCAGAACAGTCAATGCAGCTTACTGCTCAGACCTCCTGGCAACAGACATGAAGGAAAAGGTCTGATCCAAGCAGAAGACAGGTGGAAAGCGGGTAGCCTTCCTTCAAGACAATGCACACCCCCATACGGCCAAAACAATGGAAACTTTCTGGAAATTGAAATGGAACCTTCTGACACATCCAACGTACAGTCCTGACTTGGCCTCAAGTGATTTCTACCTGTTCGGAAGGCTCAAATCAGACTTGCAAGGCACGTGGTTTGTGGACAACGCCGTCATCCAGACTGTTTGGGAGTGGATACGCCACCAACAAGTCTTTTTTTTTTAATGCATCAGGATGCTTCCAGAACGTTGGAAAAAATGTGTTGACTCCGGAGGGGAGTACGTTGAACACTGACATGTGCCAGTAAGTGTTTGGCAATTATGGTTTTTAAAAAAAAAATCAGTCCCGGTCACATCTGAACCACCTTGTATTACTAAACTACTGAGAAAATGGGTGAACACTACTAAGACCAGCATCATGTCAGTAACAGTACCACTGCACTAAGAACCCAACACTGTAACAACAAAACAGTAACAATTTCCAATGATTTCCAGCATTCATTTAGCATTCAAACATTAAAAATATGGATCTTAATCTAATATAGCCCTTGATGTAGAAACATACTAGTAGAAAGCCTGTAAAAGTAAAAATAAAGTTGTCCCTGTGCTTAATTAAGCACCATGCCATGATGATGTATGGGGGAGTGGAGGGTATAACTCCATCTATCTTGACCTCAACGTTGATCAAATCTGTTATAATACAAAACAGTTTAAATCACATCAATACTTACACACTGTAGCATACAGACCTGCTGCTAAAAATGACCGCAAACTCATACATCATCCACAGCCAGCTAATGGCTCTGTAAACAACAGCCACTGCTAGGTAACTGCCGCAAAAGAAGCATGCAACAATAGAAGAATTGTTGGAAGCAGTGTTCTCTGTGCAGTCCATTCCGAGGCTACATAATGAGGAGCAGATGCGATTATGCAGGAGTCTTTGAGAAGGCAGTGAGAAGAGAAGGAAGTTGATGTGAGAGGGCAGCCAGCCTGTGAGTCAATCAGTTGGAGCAATGAGGGAGTTGAAGAGTGTCACCAGCCGGTAAGGATGTGAACACAGAAGCCAAGGAAGCTATGTCAGGAGCCACTACCAGCTGACAACTGGTGAAGATACAGCAGTCTGAGAAGACTCAGTGCATCCTGTAGTAAAGTGTTGAACATGCCAATTTGCAATAGTGCTATACTTAGTTGTAGTTATGATCTGTAAGTGTTCAATAAATCCAATTACCTACCCAAACCCCCTTTACTGTCACTCATACATGAGACAATACATTCAATATGTTACAGATTGTTCTAAATGTCATGATTTGAATACACAATGTTCCGACAGCTGGATGCGAATCAGCCATTATACTCACCAGTAAAATGCATGTTATGGCAGTGGCATATGAACTGCACATAAAACTGTAATTGTTTAATTTTCTAACCCAATCAAATGACAAATCTAGTTACCACACATATAATGAAAATGACTCTCTTCATAACATACACGGATAGGATCCATACCACCTGCACCTATCCTGTTACATTAATATGAGTAGTACAATCTCTTCTATCACACATTCATATATTGATAATGTGAAATGAATTTTACCTGTGTACTCATGAAAAATATACTAGTGTCAGTTTGTTTTCGTTTAGAATATAGTACTGCATTTTCTCTTTGTTCTTCGATATCATAAACAATGTGAAAGAAGTTAATTCATACTGCCTTCCTATTTCATTTTTGACTAACTGCCAACTTCACACAGACATATTACGTCATGCTTCATAATCATGTCTACGCTCCTACATACGACTGCCATAACAAGATTCTCCAGTTGAAGTCAGCACCAACCAAAACCTTCGACAGGTACCTGCAGAGTATTCTGTGATGTCACCTACACCAATGGAAGCTCTGAGGAAGGGGAAACCTGAGCGACAAGGAGGGAAGGTACTGGATAGGAAGTTTGGAGGACATTACAATCACACATTTCACCGTTTTAAATTGGGGGGAGGGGGGTAACCTTCTGGTGTTAAATTCTAGAATTTGAACTCTCTCCTAAACAAGGGCAAGACAGAGAGGGTGATTTTAATGGGGCCTTTATAACTGCTAGCCATAATGCGCTAAACTATGCTGAGTCTATACATTAACTTTTCTTCAGATTATTTCTGTATTGCTGTACTTACAATTTACACATATATTCCGAATCAGGTCCTCTGCAAATGCTGGGAAATGTGGAGATTTGTTGTACAACTGGATTTTTTTCGATATTGCTGTTTGGAGTTCATCTAATTCTTCGCTACTGTTTGGATTTATTACATCTATTCCGACAGCAGTGCTGGTCTCGGCAACACCTACAAACACCACAAATTCACAACATAGGTAATTATAAATAGTATTAATATATGAAATTCGTTTTAAAAGGCAAAATAAATTGGACTCCATACCAACTACATGAAGAGTGAGTAAGTCATGGAAGCGCCTCTTCTACTCCTTGGACGACGGTAAGTAACATCCTACAAACCATACAGTACAACATGGTTCTCGAGTTAAGTCAGATAGGAACACTGACAACTCTCATTTTCAGCCTCCTTTCCTCTTCCTCCTCCTTCCCTTCTCCCTATTCTGCATCTTCAAACTTGTCCTCTATACCTCTTCCTTTTACTTACTTTATATTAGTTTTCCTATTTTATCCATCTTCCTTCCTCCTAAGCCTAACTTTCTTCCCCACGACTCTTGCTGAGCCACTGGATTTTTCTCTACATACTTCTCCCATTATCTTCCCTTTATTTCATCTTATTTAATTATATTTTTCTGCTTCAACTTTTACCCACCCTGTCCCTGTGCTTAACTAATTAAGCACTACGCCATGAAGGGGTATAGGGGAGCAGATGTATAGACACACGTTTTCTTGACCTCGATACTATTTGAAGGTGAGTGGCCAGCTTCATGTCCTGGCCGCTTTACCACCAGGGAAAGAGCTCACAGTACCCACTGGATAGCAGGCTGGATGGGTCCCAGAGCCAGTCTGGACACCGCGGAGAAGAGAAAACTCTTGCCCCCACTGGGACTCAGAACTCCGACTCCTTGGTTGTCCAGCTTGCAGCCAGTTGCTATACCGACTGTGTTATCCCAGCTCTTATCCCACCTTCCTTCTATGCTTCTTAATTTCCCTGTTGAAAATTGTTAACCCCCCCCAGGCCAATGGTTCTTAATGGTTTGCTTACAGCATCAGTACCAGTCCTTCCCTTTATCTGTACCTTCTCCCATACAGGGCTTACCGTTCAACCTTGAAGATGAGGGCAGCAAACTCCCCCAAAACATTCCTATCTAACAAACTACACAGTGTCACATCAGCAGAGGACCATATTTTAAAGAAATTAAATGTTCTGTCCATTACAAAAATTAATATTACGCTGTTACAGACACCTAACTTATATATTAAATCAGAAGAGTCAATGTTAATAAAAAAAAAAACTTGTATTAAAAGATGGAGAAGAATGAATGAGACACACCGAAAGTCTCCATAGCTACCCGCAAATCAGATTCTTCCTGCAACTTCTGCTGTTGCAGCTTTTCTGCAAGTATTTCCTCTGCCGTCAGTTCCTGCCTTTCTCTATCTTTTGCTTTCATCTCTGCTTCTTCACGGAGTCTTTGCTGCAANCCTTAGCGGCCTCCATAGTCTAGAGGTAACGTTCCCACCTCATGACTCGTGGTATGCACGTTCAAACCCGGCGGAGGTCGTGGAATTTCTAAGGGCGGAAAAATTCAGGGAACAAGTCCTCCGGGAGGGACTTTCAGCCGTGGGTCCCGTGTCGTAGCTTTACGGCACGTAAAAGAACCTATCTCCAAAAGAGGTCACTGAGCCAAATTCAAGGACATTTCCCGCCCAACAGTAGTCTCTAACGCATCTGATAGATGGGGGAAGCATTATAGATACCGCCAAGCCAGCAGAGGCCGAACTCGCTGGCTCGGTCGGGACTGATGGTACGCACCTATATCGGTAGGGTATAGAGACTGGTAGAATATCATAGAGGGAAGCATAAATGGACCAATACTGGTCTAAGTGCATGGGGAAACCCACCCTCTCCAATAACTAACTAACTAACTAACTAAGCACTATGCCATGAAGGAGTATGGGGTAGTGGATGTATGGATCCATATTTTCTTGATCTCAGCACTAGCTGGAGGTGAGTGGCGAGCTTCACGCCCAGGCCACTTTACCCCCGGGGAAAGAGGCCCCTCCCCCATACCCATTGGACAGGAGGCTGGGTGGACACCAGAGCCAGTATGGACGATGTGTAGAAGAAAAAATTCTTGACCTTACCAGGACTCAAACTCCAACCCCTCAGTTGTCCAGTCCACAGCTAGTCCCTATACTGACTATGCTACCGCAGCTCATATTAAAACAATGTGACATCAGAAATGCTGGACCCATACACATCACAACAGTGTAACAGAGATTAACCTTTAACGTACTGACTTTTAAATTGCCGGCAGCCCTCTGCGGCCGGTATTTAAATCACCCTAATTAATTAACACTGCAAACTTTCAGAAAAAAGATACATATTTTCCATTCTATGCAACATATAAATACGAACTAAAAACAACCTGAAAGACAATAAAATTTTCTATATATACACAAAAGTGCAATTTTTTACCAACGAAAATTAACTCTGATTATTTTGTCATGAATTGCAAAATATAATATATATTATATACTAGCTGTGCCCGGCCACGCCTTGTGGTGGCTCAGTCTGCCTGTTCTTCCCCAGTTTGATTTGAAATTACTCGACGCATTGTGTAACCGCTCACTTCCTTGGGCCCATTTTACGTTGTGCACCACGCTGTTGCCATCCTCCTTGATCCTACGTTGTGCTCCACTTATCATCGTCCTCCCTCTTCTCGTAGATGTCGAGAAGTTAGATGGAAAGGGAGAAGAATTGTGGTTGCTGGAGCTATTACGCGAGAGCAGGTAAAGACGGGAGTAACTGGGTTCTGTTCAGTAATCTGTAGAGCTGAGTTCCTATCCCGGGTCTTATACGGGTCTGGCTCGGGCAGGGCAGGAAGAACCTTTCTGCTTCAATCACACACACACCTCTTTAGACCGTTGCCCTTAATGGTCATTTAATCCCTTCCAGCATACTGAATATAACTGAATTTATTAATACACTTAATTTGGACTTTACTTATACTA